TAGTGGGAAGGACACCCCTCGCAGAAAAACAGGTCCTGGAGGCATTAGGGAGCATACGGCTCCTATGATTTGATGGGCTGTTTTTCCCTGAGCCTCAGCATCCGTTTCCACATGTACCAGGTGGATGCGATAATCCTTTCTTTGAATGACGAAAGAAGAGAAGGCATGAAAGGTGCCTACAGCAGTGCCTGGTGCTTGGTACTGCTGCTGTTTTGTGAGGGATTCTCACAGGAATCAGAACTGCTTGGATGGTGGGGCGCAGCGGGTGGGAGGGCAGCTCACTGACTCAGGGCTGAACCCACAGTGACCCTGGTTCTGGGGGTGGCAGGGAAGACAGGCGGACATGCCTGCCTCTGAGTCACTCCCGGGTCTGAGGCAAGTTTCTCTAGGATGGTCAGCCGACGATGGGATGTAGTTTCAGGTTGGGACAGGAGGCGGGACCCCAGAGTAAGCTCCTCTTCCTCATAAGTCCCTGGTGTTCCAGTTGTCCACAACAAAAATAGGCTCTAAATTAAAACACTGAAGACGGGGCTGGCTTTGTCCTGTCTTGCCTTGCCCTGGGGGGTTTGATGGAATAAAGGCATTCACGGATCATTAATAAATCTCAAAGCTAATCCTCTCAAGTGCTGGGTGCTAATAAAGAAAGTGAAAATCAGGGAGATTAAGTTACAGTTTCCAAAATCTCAGAACCAGAGCCAATGGGATTCAAACCCAGGCCTGGATCCAGACGTCCCCTCTTAATCAGGTGATGGGTCTAGAAAATTCTTCTGACCATAGTGGTTATGTAGAGATGAATTCCAGCTGATCCCTGTGGTTCACCCAAGGACCCCTCCTGGGAGAAGGGCACGAAAATAGAGCGGGGGCAGCAAAGGCTTCCTGGAGGAGGTGACCCCAAGCTGAGTAAGAGGGAGTAGCCTATAGTGGACTTCATTAAATCTTGGTTTAAAAAATGGAATTAGTAGATGCAGAAATGGGGGGAAGAGCATTCCAGGCAGAAATAAGGCAGGTCACCTGGCCAAAGGTCGAGAGGTGGCCTCAGATCCTTTGCCTGCTTCATTCATTCTGGGGGTGGTCTGTCCCAGGTGCACGCTTTAAGGGGTGCATATCTGCAGAGAGCTTAAAAATAATATATCCAATTAAATGTTGATCTGCTTTTTATTATTACCACGGGTCAGCAGTTTAAAGTAATGTTGGGGCCGGCCCAGTGGCACAGCAGTTAAGTTTGCACGTTCCACTATGGTGGCCCACGGTTCACAGGTTCGGATCCCGGGTGTGGACATGGCACTGCATGACAAGCCATGCTGTGGTAGGCGTCTCACATATAAAGTAGAGGAAGATGGACATGGACATTAGCTCAGGGCCAGCCTTCCTCAGCAAAAACAGGAGGATTGACAGATGTTAGCTCAGGGCTAATCTTCCTCAAAAATAAAATAAAATAGTGTCTGTGATAAAATACTCCTCTCTAAAAAAAATTTTTGTTCGTCTAAATTATAAACAACTGCTGTGGATATTGTTGAGTTTATTTAGTTTTATTAATACATAAAAATTAGGGGACCATCAACAAAATGAAAAATCTCCTGAATGTGAGAAAATATTTACAAATCATATATCCGATAAGGTGTTAATATCAAAAAAAATATATAAGGAACTCACAACTCAGTAGTAAAAGAACAGGGGCCAGCCCAGTGGCCCAGCGGTTGAGTTTGCTCATTCCACAGCCTGGGGTTCTCTGGTTCGGATCCCAGGTGCTGACACTGCACCGCTTGGCAAGCCATGATGTGGCCGGTGTCCCACATATAAAGTAGAGGAAGATGGGCATGGATGTTAGCTCAGGGCCAGTCTTCCTCAGCAAAAAGATGAGGATTGGCAGCAGATGTTAGCTCAGGGCCAATCTTCCTTAAAAAAAAAAATAGTAAAAGAACAAACATTCTTATTAAAAAATGACAGAGATGTTGAATAGACATTTTTCTGAAGAAGACATACCAATGGCCAATAGGTATATGAAAAGGTGCTCAACATCACTAACCATCAGGGAAATGAAAATCAAAACCACAATGAGATAGCATCTCACACCTATTAGAATGGCTGTTATCAACAAGACAAGAGATAATAAGTGTTGGCAAGGATGTGGAGAAAAGGGAATCCTTGTGCACTGTTGGTGGGAATGTAAATTGGTGCAGCCACTATGGAAAACAGTATGGAGGTTCCTTGAAAAATTAAAAATAGAACTACCATATGATCCAGCAATCCCACCTCTGGGTATTTATCTGAAGGAAAAGAAAACACGAACACAAAAAAAATATCTGCACTCCCATATTCACTGCAGCATTATTTACAATAGCCAAGACATGGAAGCATCTAAGTGTCCATCAATGGATGAATGGATAAAGAAAATGTGATGTGTGTATATATATATATATATATATATATATATATACACACACACACAATGGAATATTATTCAGCCATAAAAAAGAAGGAAATCCTGCCATGTACAACAGTATGGATGGACCTTCAGGGCTAAGCGAAATAAGTCAGACAGAGAAAGACAAATACTGTATAATCTCACTTATAAGCGGAATCTAAAACAAACAAAACGCTGAACTCATAAAGACAGAGAACAGCTTGGTGGTTATCAGAATATTTTACTGAATTTGAATCATACTTTTAAAATGGAAATTTATTCCTTTAAAAGTGTTCGTTGTTTTAAAACGAAAGATAAATCAGGAAAATAAGTGCTACACCAGTGGTGCAATTTAGCAGTTTCGGTCTTATTTAAATTCACTTGTTAGTTCCTGGAGGATCATTTACATAAGGTATTATATCAGTGTGTAATGAAAGGATCAAAGTCCAAACAATTAGGTAGATGTGAAAATGATTGAAGTAAATAGTTGGACCTTTTTCATTTTTTTTGGACTGTAATATTAATTGTATGTATTTATTTATTTTACCGGCATGAATATACATACAAAGCTTTGTAAAAGAAAAATTTCACTTCTGCACTTCTTTTCTGGTCATTATTATTTTTCATTTCATTTCATGATTATTTGAAAATATGAAATTTGAATTATGAAAATAATTTTATCCTATAGAGGAGTGAGGTATTTAAAAATCTGCTCCATGTGTCAAATATGATTCATTCCACAAATATTTTCTAAGTACCACGTTGGGAGAAAACTAGATGTGTGGGAACTAGAAGAGGCATCAAATGGGAGTCAGAGATGGCCCCAGGAGGACGTGACACCTCAGCTGAGACCTGGGCAGCTGTTGGTCATAGAAGCATAGCCACCATTTCTTAGGTGCCTGCTCTCAGCCCCACCCCGTGCTAGTAGCGGGAGACACACTTAAGACTCTTGATACGCCATCTGTTACAATGGAGCAAAAGTCCCTGCTGTCACCAAAGGCCCTCTTGTCATTTGTACCCTGGGTCCTGTCAAGAAAGGACAATGTCAATGTCGCTCCTATAACTAAGCTCTCTCTCAGCTTCAGCATCGGTTTCTCTTTATCAGTGGGTCTCCATCAGCCTCCCTTCATCCTCTTTCCAACCAATACCTCAATTCTCTGCCCCATTCACAGCAAAGCTTCTTTGAAAGAGTTCTTTACAGACAGTGTCTCAGTGTTTTCACCCCATCAACTCCTGTTCTCTTCTTATCCACTCCCATTAGGCTTCTCTCTCCTCTCTAACTGCTTTTGTCAAAGTCACCGATGACCTCCATCTTGCCAAATCCAATAGGCACTTACCTGGTTCTTATCTGAGCAACATTTGAGGCCGCTGAACAGTCCCTCTTTTAAATACGTGTTTCTCTTGGCTTCTTAAAATATAGGCTCCTGACTTTCCCCTGCTTCTCTGGCTGTTACTTCCCAGTCTTTTTGGATGATCTCACTGCTCTGCTGGCCCTTAAATGTAGGAGGTCCCCAGGCTCTGTCCTCAGTCCTTTTCACTAACTATCCTTCTAGTTGATATCATCCACTCTAAATATAACCACTACCTCCTTGCTGACAACACCCAAATTTACATTTACAGGCCTGGGGTCTCCCTGAGCGTATTTCATAGACGCCTCAAAATCAACACGTCTAAGATGGAATTCTCGTTGCAGCTGCCTCCAAATCTGCTCCTCTTCCCATTTTTCCATATCACCAAATGGTGCAGTCATCACTCAGTCGCTCAAGTCAATAACATAGGAATCATCTTTGATTCCTCTTTTCCTCCCAGCCCTTTACTATTCCAATTCATTACCAAGTCCTGCCCCATTTAATTGTAAAATATTCTCTAATCACCATCACCACCACCCACCAAACACTGACATCTCTTTCTAGGAGAGCTCCTTTAGCTTTCCAACTGGAATCCCTCTTGTGGCTTCCATCTTGTCCCCTATGATCGTAAACCTCACAGGAGCCCAACGATTATCTTAAAAACTTAAATCCACTTCCTGCTTAAAATCCTTCAGCAGCTTCCCACCACGCTTAGAATACAACCCACACTAGTTTCCACGGCCTCCAAGACCTGTCCCTCTCTGTCCTCATGTCATTCCACTCCCCTTGCTCACATCACAGAGGTCACCTGGCCGTCCTATGCTTCCTCCCACATGTCAAGCTCTTTCTTGCCTCAGATCCCTCCAGTCTTCCCATGGCTGGTTCCTTTCAGGCTCTTGGTTCTCAGCTCACATTTTGCTACTTTGTTTTCTCTCTAACACTCACCGCCACCTAAAATTATATGAACTAGCGACTTTATTATATTCATTTCACGTCTGCCCATTTAGGATGAAAATTCCTTAAGACCAAGGACTTTTCTTCTGTCTTGTTTGCCATTGTATCCCTAGTCCCAAAAAACAGTGTCTGATCCACAGCGCGTACTCACTGAGTATCACAGAATAAAGACACCGTGCCGTGGTGTACGCACAAGCGACAGAGCTCTGGCCTCCAGCGGAAAAAATCCAGGCCTCGGGGGTGGGGGTGGGGGGCCTATGGCAAGAGCCCTGACCTGGGGGGATGGGGATGGGGGTGGGGGTGCAGGTTCTCCTGTCTGCAGAGACTCTCTCCAGACTCCTTCCTCATTTCTCCACTGGAAGGTCAGTGAGGCCTGCCTGGAGTCTGAAATATCGTTGCCCCCACGCCCACTTCGGCCAAACAGAGATGCTCAGACTGAAGGGCGGATGGGGTAAGTAGGGCGGGGCAGAAGTAAGACTGAAGAAGTAGTGAAGGTCTGAGACCCCCTGTTAGTGACCCTGCTGCGTCACGGCAGGGGTCTGGCTGGAGCGGGGCAGGGTGGGGCAGCCCCTGCTGGGTGGGTCGCTGGGTGCGGCCCTTGGCTCCGCCCCCCGGCGCGGTGGGAAGTCGAAGCTGAGCGTGGCGATTGTGGCGTGGTGCTGCGGGTCAGCTGACCCGCCACGCCGCGGCTGCCAGTCTCTGCTCTGGTCTGATGTGGGTCTGGACCCGCTCACGGTCCCGATGTGTAGCCGATCCCAGGCTGAGATGGAGCAGGAGGCCGAGGGGCTGAGCCAGTGGCAGGCGGCTCAGCAGCAGCTGGAGGAGGTGAGTCCAGGCCTCAGCCCGGGGGGGGGCGGGGCGTGGGGACTAGTGGGGAGGTAGTGGGTGTGTGCAGGGAAGCAGACTTCTGGGGCATTAGAAGTCGGAGGGACTGGGTTGGGAAGGGCAGGGATGGGAGATGGAGGACGTAAATGATGTGTCGTTTATTCAGTTAATATCCACCGAGCATTAGCGCAGATCTTGGGCGCTGGGGGTAAAAAGCTTCCAGGTAACTTCTGGTGGAGAGACTTGAGTACTCAGGAAAGAGACAAAGTTCCGAAGCGGGGAGGGGCCAGGGAGAAGAAATTAAATATTTATTGGAGCTCTAGTAAGTGGCAGGCCTTTGCCAGACCCTGGGTATGCAATGGTGATTTACCATATTATACCATTTTATTAATAAATAGCCAAATGATTGGAAGCGTTCAAATTACAGTCAAGAAGCACCAGGGCCACGGGAACAAACAGCAGAGGTGTTTGATCTGCTTTAGGAGGTGGAGAGGACAGCGGAGGATTTGGTCTGGGATTGGAGAACTGGTTAGGTGAAGAGTTTGCAGGTCGAGAGACCCAGATAGTACGCCTCCACCTTGGACGACGTGAAAGATGAACTGTGAGACCAAGGCCAAGAGAGCGATGGGAGAGTCGCCCAGGGAGGCCAGAGGCAGGAACCCCGGGCACCATGGAGGTCCTGCAGGGCTTGAGTTGGTTAATCCAAGAGCGGCAGGAAGCCACTCATGAGTTTAAACAGGATCAGTCACAATTAGATTTGCATTTTTTAAAGAGTGCCGTGGCAGGCGTGGACAGAATTCAAGGCACTAGTTAGAAAGCTATTGTGAGAATCCAAGCTGGAATCAAAATGGCGGCCTCACTAGAGAGGTTGAAGTGGAGATGGAGAAAACGGAAAAGCTTCTGGAGATGTTTTGGAGGTAGAGACCCCAAGAACTGGTAATTACTTGGATCTAGGTGACGAGGAAGGCATCCAGGATAATATAGCAGACGTCTGGCTTGCACAGTTGGGTGAGAATAGTGGTGACATTTTCTGAGAGAGCAACGGATGAGAAGAAACAGGATTAGTAGGGTTTTTTTTCTTCCCTTGAGGGTGGGTGGGTAAGGATGATCCTGAGTTTTGGACATACTAGTCCGTTGAATAGCCTGTGGGCTATCCAAATAGACCAAGCGTTTGGCAGCTGGAAGATTCTGGAGAGGTCTGCCCTGGAGCTCTTGCTTTAAGAATAATTGGGATATAAACAGAAATGGGTTCATTAGCATGAGAAAGATTACCCAGAGAGTAGCGTAAGGAAAACCTGCAAAGAAGACTGAGAAGGAGGAGGGCCAGGAGAGAAGGGGAGGAGCAAAACCAGGCAAGTGTGGCAGTGCGTTTCTGAGGTCAAGGGGAGGAGACATTTCAGGAAGAGTCTCAGAAGCTCCTGAGAGGTGGAGCAAGGAGGAGTCTGACAAGTGTTTGGATTTAGTGACGTGGAAGCCATCAGTGGCCTTTATGAAAGCTGTTCCTGTGGAGAGATGGGGGCCAGAGTGAGTTTGGGGAATAATTAGGCGAGGCATTTAAAGTTGTGTGTAGACATCTTCAAAGAAGTTTGGCTGTGAAGGATCAGGAAAATAAAAGACGGCCATTGCCGAGAGGGAGGGAAAAGGGACTGAGCACTCCGGAAATACCCGTCCAATAGACAGTTCTCTGGGGCCTGTTACGTGCTTACTTTATGCTAGTTGCTGAGCTTATCGGGTGAATAAAACAGATAAGATCTCCCCAACCCTTGTAGGGTTAAAAAAATTTTTTTTCCCTCCATATCAAAACAGTATCAAACCTATCAAAATGAGTGACACTTGCTTAATATCATCTTAGATGTAATTCTTTTTCAAATTCTCCTAGTTGTCCCTAAAATGGCTTTTACAGCGGATATGTCCAAACCAAGATCCAATTTAAGACCACGCACTGCATCTGGTTACTGTGTCTCTTGAGCCTGTTTGAAATTAGAATAGTCCTTTTTCCTGACTGCCTTTCCGTTTTTCGTGATCCTAACTTTTGTAGAGTGTGCCTTTTTCCAGATTTATCAGATTGCTTTCTCATGGTATAAGTTAACTTGATCCTTCTTTCTCTTGATTTACGTCTAAATTGGCCTGAGATCTTAAGGCTTAATTGGATTCCAGGGTTTTGGTAAGCATTTCTCACAGATACACAAGGCTTCATCTTGCATTACATTAAGGAGACACGTCTGGCTCCTCACATTTGGTGACACAGGGCTTGGCCCTTGAATTCAGGTAGCGAAAAGCCCGATGGATCTCTGTATTCAAACATATCTTTTAGTCTCTTGGGTAGAAAGTAATCTGTAATGTTACCTTGGAAGCCTCAGAATGTCCAGTTCCCCACCAATCGCTCACCTACTGATTTCAACAAAGTGTTAATTTTTCCTCAACCAGAAGTTTCATTAGGGGTTATAAAATAATGATTTTCCAGTTTCACCATTTCTTCTGCATTTATTAGTTTGTATTCTTCTGTAAAGTAATATTTTTCTTAAACAACGGGAATCATTTGGTGATTTTGAAATAAGTTTCCTACTGGAAAGACAGAAAAAATGCTTAATTCTTTCACTTCAATTAGCAATGTTCAAAGCTGGGATAATAGCCGACCTTTTGTCACTTTGGGCTCATGAATTTTCATAGATTCAATCTAGTAAAATCAACAGTTATTATTCTTTTTGATTCTCAAATTGTTACAAATTTGCCCAGTGAGAATCCCTTCCTTGTCCTTTTTTAAACATTAAAAAAATTGTAGTCCAATCTACATACCATAAAATTGTCATTATAACCAGGTTTAAGTGTATACTTCAGTGGCATTAAGCACATCCACGTTATTGTGCATCCATCCCCACCATCCATCTCCAGAACTCTTTTCATCTTCCCAAACTGAAACTCCTTAACCATTAAACAAACAGTAACTTCCTAATCCTCCCCTCAGTACCTGGCAACCCCCGTTCTACTTTCTATCTCTTTGAATTTGACTTCCTTAAGTACCCCATATAAATGGAATCATTCATCATTCTTCCTTTTGTGACTGGCTTGTTTTACTTAACATAATCTCCTCAAGGTTCATTTATATTGAAGCGTGTGTCAGAATTTCCTTCCATTTTAAGGTTGAATAATATTCTATTGTATGTATATACCACATTTTGTTTATCCAGTCATCTGTTGATGGACACGTGGGTTACTGTCACCTTTTGGCCATTGTGAATAATGCTGCTCTGAACATGGGTGTACAAATATCCATTTCCAGTCCCTGATTTCAGTGCTTATAGCTATATAACCAGAAGTGGAATTGCTGGATCATATGGCAATTTTATTTTTAATTTGTTGAGGGACTGCCATACTGTTTTCCACAGTGGCTGCACCATTTTACATTTCCACCAGCAGTGCACAAGGATTCCAATTTCTCCACCTCTTGCCAACACTTGTTTTTTTGATAATAGTCGTTTTAATGGGTGTAAAGTGGGATCTCATTGTGGTTTTGATGTACATTTCCCTAATGATTAGTGATGTTGAGCGTCTTTTCATGTGCTTATTGGCCATTTGTATGTCTTTGGAGAAATGTGTATTCAAGTCCTTTGCCCATTTTGAATTGGGTTATTTTTCTATTACGTTTTAGGAGTTCTCTGTATATACTGGATATTAGTCCTTTACCAGATATGTGATTTGCAAATGTTTTCTCCCATTTTGTGGGTTGCCTTTATACTGTTGATAGTGTCCTTTGATGCACAAAATTTTTGATTTTGATGAAATCCAATTTGGTGTAATTTTTCTGTTGTTGCCTGTGCATTGGGTGTCATATCCAAGAAATCATTGCCAGACGCAATGTCATGAAGCTTCCCGCTATATTTTCTTTTAAGAATTTTACAGTTTTAGCTTTTACGTTTAGGTCTTTGATCCATTTTGAGTTAATTTTTGTATGTGGTATTAAGTAAGGGTCCAACTTCATTCTTTCGCATGTGGACATCCAATTATATCAGCACCATTTATTGAAAAAACTATCTTTTTCCCCTTGAAAGGTCTTGGCACCCTTGGTGAAAATCATTTCACCATATATGTGAGGGTTTACCTCTAGGCTCTGTTTCTTTCTGTTGATCTGTAGGTTTATCCTTAATGCCAATACCATGCTGTTTTGATTACTGTAGCTTTGTAGTAAATTCTGAATCAGAAAGCCTGAATTTTCCAATTTTGTTCTTCTTTTGCAAGGTTGATTTTGGCAATTTAGGGGTCTCTTCAGATTTCACGTGAATTTTGGAGGGAATTTTTCTATTTTTGCAAAAAGTGATTTTGACAGGGATTGTATTGGATCTGTAGGTTGCTTTGGGTAATGTTGACATCATAACTACTGAGTTCTGCAATACATGAACATAAGATGCCTTTCTATTTATTTACGTCTTTAATTCCTTTCAGCAGTGTTTTGTAGTTTTTGCTGATTATTAACCTCTTTGATTATTTCTAATTATTTAATTCTTTTGGATGCTATTGTAAATTGAATTGTTCTCCTTATTTCCTTTCCAGATTGTTCATTGTCAGTGTATAGAAACAACTGATTTTTGTGTATTGAATTTGTATCATGCCACTTTGCTGAATTTGTTTATTAGTTCTAACAGGTTTGTGTGTGTGTGTGTAATCTTGAGGATTTTCTACGTATAAGATTATATCATCTGGGAACAGAGAGAGTTTTACTTCCTCTTTCCCAATTTGGATGCCTTTTATTTCTTTTTCTTGCCTAATTGCTCTGATTAAAACTTCCAATACGATATTGAATAGAAGTGGTAAAAGTGAGTATTCTTGTCTTGTTCCTGATCTTAGAGGAAAAGCCTTCAGTCTTTCACCGTTGAGTATGATGTTAGCAGTTGATTGTTCATAAATGCCCTGTATCATGTTGGAAGTTTCTTTCTAATCTTAGTTTTTTGAGTGTTTTTTTTTAATCATGAAAGAGTATTGAAGTGTTTCAAATTCTTTTTCTG